AAAAAAAAAAAAAAAAAAAGAAAGTTCTTAAGCATATGCACATACCAGCACAAGTCAAGTGCATACAACTTTTTTTAAGAAAATAGTATTATGGATAGTAATATGGATTGTTCTGCAGTTTGCAGTTTTTCACTTTATATATCTTAGTAGTCTCTCTATTATCAGTGCATATACCTCTTATCACATTTTTGTTGTTGTTAATCCTCATCTGAGGATATTTCCTCCATTGATTTTTAGAGAGAGTGGAAGGGAAGGAGGAAGGGGGAGAGAGAGGAAGAGAGGGAGAGACACACATTGATGGGAGAGAAACACATCGATTGGTTGCCTCCCGCACACAACTCAAAGGGGACCAGGGATCAAACCTGCAACCCAGTTACATGACCTTGACCAGGAATCAAACTCTCAGCCCTTCAGTGCTTAGACCGATGTTCCAACCACTAAGCCATACCGGCCAGGTGTCTTATCACATTTTTCTGGATGAACCACAATTTATTCACCTCCACCCTTAGGACATTTAAGCTCCTTCCAAATTCATGCTATTACAAACAATGCTGCAGTGAACATCCTTGTATGTATTTCTCTGTGTACTAGTAATTAAGCCATATATCCTTCTTCCACAGAACTGAACAAGGACCAAAACAATCTATATATGTCTACAGATGATTAAATGAACATGAGTTACAGGGAGAAGGGACATCGGAAAGGGAGAAGAGAGTCTGGAGAAAATAAGAGTGAACCACAAAAAGAGCCTATACGATATAACCACATTTACACACCTATGTGAGTATATGTATATAGAAATTAAATAAAATTGTTCTAAAAGTAAAAGAAAAAGTCCTGGTAGTAGAATTACTGGGTTAAGAAACATGGGCATTTAAAATTTTGATGTTGCCAGATTGCCCTCCAAAAAAGTTGTACCAATTTATAACCCCACCATGACTGTATGAAATTGCCTGTTTCCCTACAAATTTGCCAACTCTAGGTATGATCAAATTTTTAAAAATCTTTGCCAATCTGATATATGAAAAATCGTATCTCATTAAAAAGTTTTCATTTCTTTAAATACATAATTAAAAGTTGAATAAATTTTAATGTCTATGGGCCATTTGTACTTTTCCCTGAGAACTACCTTCTATATATTTTTACCCATTTTCTATTTGTTTTTTCACCTTTTTTAAAATTAATATGTAAAATGTTTTTGTAAATTAAGGAAAATAGGCTTTTATCATGGGTAATGCAACTGTTTTTATGTTATTTATCATTTTTATGTTTTTAATATCAATCTTAGAAAGACATTCTCCACTCCAAAATTATTAGAAACAAAATCCACCTATGTTTTCTAATATTTTTAATGGTTTTGTTTTTATTTTTAAATATTTTATCCATGTGTAATTTGTTTTGGTATAAGAGTAGTGAGGTAAGAATCCAATTTTTATTTTTTTCTAAATGATCAGCCAATTATGTTCAAATTATTTGCTGATTAATCTAACTTTTCTCCACTGATTTGAAGTGTCATTTTTATCATGAACTAAATCTTTTTATGTATTTGGATCTATTTCCAGACTCCGCGTTCTATGGTTTCTACACTCTCCCATATCATACACTTACATGCTTGTCTGTGAAGGAGGAAAACAGAGCATTGTCCCAGGAGAAGACTTAGAGGAGATAAGACAACTACCTTAAAATACCTCCTTATCATGGAGAAGAAAAATACTACATCTGTTGTCTCTAGAGGGCAGCACTATAAATGGGGTGGAAGTTCATAAAGACAGGTTTGAAGTTCTTTAGAATGGAGAATGTTCTAGAAATCCCCTTGTACGCATATTCAACAATGCCATTGTTGTACATTCCTGGCCACTAACAGAGATGTTATATAAAGGATTAATGTATTGGGTAGGAGGCTGGAGTCCTATGATTCTAAGATCCCTTCTTATACTTCTCATTTTATAACTAAGTTTTACACTCTGCAGACTCTAAATAAAACAAATATGTACTTTTTGAGAAAGTTGTTTTGCCAACAAAGTAGGACTAAACTAAGAGAAAATAGAATTTTTCAAATCTCACCAATCATCATCATGAATCTTCGATTGGCCAGCCTTTTCTTTGGACATGTCCTCACCTGTAGTCAAGACAAATATACACTTTGTAAAGAAAACCAGAAGCCAGAACCAATAACATGTTTCTACATTGTGCATTTATCTTTCAGCAGCTTCTTTACCCTGATTTAAAGGCAAAACTTTGCTCTGTGAAATGAGAAGTATTTAAATTTACTTGTTGCAGGCTGCCTGGATGTAGAAAGCTATAGACAAGGAGTACCACACCCCTCTCCCACCTTGTCCTGGATCAATAAGCCCAAAGTACCTGATGTGAAATCACATCAACACCCATGCATTATGGAGATGTACAAGGAGATGTAAACATTCATTATGAGCCGCCAGATAACATTGTAAGGTTTTAGCATGCACTAGCCCCTACTCAGTCTCTGGACCAGTGCTCTCTTTCCTCCAAACAATTTCCTACCCTCCATACCAGCCCTCCACTCTCCCAATGCCTTCACTCCCCTTACTCCCGCCTCACCTCTAGGAAGCCTACCTATCAAGCTTCCAACCCTCTACTCTATCCTCCTCCACCCCTCCACCTCCCTACCCCTGCTCCCAGCCAGTCTTACACAGACTAGGCCACAACACACCCTACAGACCTCTATCCAACCACCACCCTCCCAATCCCCCTATCCCACCTCCTGCTGGTCTTAT